GCCCAACATTAATCACCACAGCAGTTGCGAGGTCCGAGTCTGGTCCTTGCCCTCCTCCCCCCCTTTTCTCCTTCCTACTTTAACCCCCTACCCCCTTTCCGCCCGGCGATCCCAATAATGTCCTTGTTCCCTTAATTTCCGGACCGAATTTGACAAAAGCCGTCGGGTTCGATAATAGAACGCCTGCTTGGCGGCCAGTAGTAATAACAGCCCCTGCCTGGCCGCCCGGTGCGGTCCCCGCCCCGCCCCGCCTGGTGAATTCCATTTTCGATTGATTGCAATAACAATGGCAGCGCGCAGCGAGTCATTTTCCCATCAAAGGGCCCTTCCCCGTCCAGGGCTCCCCACCTCCACCCTGCCGGTCCACCCTGACCGCCCCCTGATGCAGCTGGCCCCCCAGCTCACCACAAGTTCCTTTAGAAACGACATTTATCTTGACGGGTTTATTTCTTTGGAAAATTTGGTATGAAACAAAATGGAAAGAGATGCAGCGCCAGGCCATTAAGGTGGGTGGCGAGAGCCAGAATACTAACACACAAAGGGTTATAGCAGTTCACTGTAAACTTGTTGGCGTTTTTCTTCTCATAGAACGCCAGAACGCGTCTTTGAGCGCCAAATCCTGGCGTCTTTGAGTGCCAGGATTTGGTGGTCTTCAGAGACCGCCAATATTTTTGCGTCATAAGACGCCAACCAGTTCGCAGTGTTAACATTTACGTTTGGTAGTTTGGTTGCCGTTTCCGTGGTTGAAGAAGTGATTACACGCGGGTAAAACGTCAACACCAAGTCCCGCGAACTGTTTTTCTTTTGTGCGGGTGTCCTCCCGCCCCTCCTGCGTTGGGCTCCTCTCTCTCGCCCGGGTCCTTCGCCGGCCCCGTATTACGCGGTCTCTCGGCTTCAAAGCCTTGAGAGCCTTTCAGAGTCGGGGATTAGTGGTTGGTCGCGACACGGCGGCGGTGCGGCGTGGCAGCGCCGCGCGAGAGGTAAACGAAGCAGCCCCCGCCTCTCCCTCTAGCCGCGTCCCCGCGGAGTGTCACTGGCGTCACGGCCTCCTAGACGCCAAACACGGCGCGGTCCCCGGGGAGGCCAGCCCAGCCCCGCAGCTCGTAGCGTAGCAGGCGGAGCCTGGCGGAGT